GTGTTATCTGTGCTTCCCTTTCAGCATGCGCGCCACACTGCAGGCCAAACGCTTGGGCATCACAACCCGAGAACAGAAAGTATTAAATTGCCTTTCCTCTTTCGTTTTGCCGCCTCTGCGTGGGAGTTTTTGAGGAAAAAAAATGATGTACCTGTTGAATTTGGAAGCGATTGTAAATATCTTGCTAGGAGTTTTGAGTGATGCAGGCTCCAAAAGGTATCCATAACATTAGCCAACGTGATGAATTCAACATGAACCGCTTCGTATCTACCCCTTCAAAAAATCGCCTTTGTTGAACCAGCGGTCAAGAACGGATTTGGGTTGACAGGTAAGGTCAACCAGTTAAATGCCGGTTGTGGGTGATTCGATGCGAATACGAGCAACAGGCTATGAAAATCATAGCTGCTGAGAGCTTACTTCTTGGATGGGCAAAGGAGAGGAGGAGAAGGAGAGCAGTGATGCAGACATTGACGTAGACAATCATTGCATTGAGAACACAACCGTTCAAGTAGCCCCACAGCGCCCAAAGTAGAAAGTATGCCAAAAAGGTGCTTAAGTAGAGGGTGACAGTGAGGACGAAGATCACTGTAAGGAAAGAAAGGCTGTAATACGTGAAGCTAGTATTAAATCCATCCCGAAAATTGAGATCCCCCCATTCAGCTGACTATCCAAGTTTCATTAATTCACCCTCAAACCAAGCCAGTTTGACCTACTTCCTCATTTGTTTACTCCACCATTGGCTATTGTCCATAAGACTTCTACCCTCTTTCGAATTAGGCATGCACTACCTCCGGTTGACTGAAATGTCGAATATTGTGCGCTAGGCAATCTGATTTTAGCAGTGACTTCAACCTTGTCGGCAAAAGCGAATGCGTCATTCTTCGGAAGTGCCCCATAAATAATGAAACCAAGCTAAATAATTCGACATCATTAGGGTGGTCACTTCCCAAAACCTACTCCATAAAAAAAGAATCAAAATTGCACGAACAACCTAAGCACCCACATGTCAGAATCAACATGGTAATGAGAAGGGATGTAGAATATGCAAGTCGTAAAGAAAAGACCCCCAACAATTTTATGGCCTCGTCTATACAAGAATGGGAGATTTGGTGGTCAAATTCGTATTAATATGCAATTCTTGTGTCTTTGTTCCAAGAATCCTCAATCTATCTCATATATTTACTTCAAGAGTTACGAAAAAGCCTATGACCATGTATGCAACCGATGAAGTGTGGGAAAAATGTCACACTCTTCTTAAATTATGGTCGAACATAAAGACGTGCAAATGGAAAGTCTTCTACTTCAGAGTAAGGTGAGAAGACAAGAATACGCCATTAAGCCTACACTGCCGCCTGAAAACGCACCAGTTAAATGATTAGCCCCTCATTTAGCACGTGAGAAGGAAGAGGGCGTCTAGAGTATTTACTTGATGTTAGTCAAACAAGTTTCCCAGGTTACTCACCAACTCTTCTTGACATTCCACAGCCACCTTACTGCAAGAGGGCTGGTATTTTTGATCACCAACACAGTGCACCGATGAGAAATTCGGTTTGAAGTAAATATGACCTCCCTTGTAACCTCTACCCCTCCCTCCTCCCTCACGGTAGTAGTGATCTCCTAGACAGAGTGATTCGGGTCGAAAAAGCCACCTTGAGCCTTAAAAGCAAGGATGCTTTGGGGCTCCAAAAGAGCTATACAATGATCCTTTATGCTTTAAATGTTGTTCATGCCAAAATAATTCAGTAAGCAACGAATCTGTACTAAAATAGGAATACTCAATAAGGATAACAACCAGTCTTAAAGTTCTCAGTGGAACTAACTAATTTTGCATTTTATAAGCCATTTAAGAGCAGTTTAGTGGGGAAACAAACTTACAAGTTCGGTAGACGCGCTTTTTCTTACTTCGCCTAAACCTTATAAATCAAACGAGAGCAGATTAAGCATCAAAGTGACTTTAAAAAAAGCGAAACAATAGCTCACCAGATTCCGTTGAATTCATAGGCATAGTCAATGAAGAAAACATTCTGCAAATATATGAAGGCAATTCCGCCTAAGACAGCCATCAGCATCCAGGCTAGAAATGGTTAATGACGCCGAAGAAGAGCCCACTTACCAGTTGTGGCTTTATCGAGGGAGGGAAAGAAGATAGATATCACCCATAATAAAACAATAAAGGCACATTTCCAGAACCAGAATCTAAGCAAGTAATATGAAGGAGGGAACAGCGCACCCGTTATGAATTTTGCCACGCCATGACTGACTGTTGCTATTTTGTATTGTAAAAAGCATCAAGATAAAGTGGAAAATTGCTAAAGGTATGCAAAATCGATAGACGGCGAGGTAACCAACAAAGCGAACGCACTGTTCACGGGTCTGAAAATGGCTGCAGAACTCGAGCATCATGTCGCCCAGCTAAAAGAATAGGAGTAGGCTAAAAAAAGAATGACATACCATTCGGGTCGCAGTGCTGTGTGCAAGCCCACCAGTATGAAAAATAACAGAAAGAACAGATACAACAGTAAGAATACAGCAATAGATGAAACGAGTTGAGGTGGATTCTTTCACATGGCGAACGCAACACAGAGCCATTGGTTTTGCAGAAAAGCATGAGGTGACAACTCTTCCAACCCATTCCATTCTAAAAGCAAGTACTTTACAACTGTAACTTTTACACCAGACATGTGATAATGAACATCTATGAGAGAAGAGGACTGAAAAGAATTAACAAATTAAGCGCAAAAACTTCAGAAGCGGATAACATTTAAAAAACCTATGCTAAAAGAGTTTGAGAAAAGAAGTTGGAGATGATATGAAGCTATTACCAGACGGTAAAGTATCCTACAACGCTCTCGGATTCCGCCACTCAAACGACCAATAATTTACTCAAATTCAACAAGTTAAAAGTCGTGAGGTCAAAGAAGGATAATTTAAAATTGCAGTCTGTAATATAGGTAATACATTAAGTTCAATTTAAAAAACTAAAAACTTAACATTTTTCAAAAAGTTTGTACTTGTTATAATAATTTGATTTAGATTTACGTTGGTAAGTGCAGACAAAACTTGTAGCAAGTACCTTTCCGGCAGAAAATAAAATAATTTTTAATAAAGGAGAGTGTATAATGAATTTGGTTATCATATGTAGTGTTATTGCATAATTTTACATTATTTCGCTCATTTTACCTCGATGCATTTTATCGCCGATAATTTTTGCACTTTAGAAGTTATTTTTATTATAAATTTGTTTTTTTGTTATTTGTGTAATTTTTTAAAAATTTTTATGTTGGTATTTTGTTTTAGTGGGCTATTATTAATAATCGTCCTTGAAAGGCTATAGGATTCATTTTCGCGGCCTTCTTTATGCTATATTTCATTGTCTATCCTGTTTGGCATCATCTGGGCTACCCTCACTCTCGAGTTCTTGTTTGGTCCCTTGACGACAGTGCCTTGCAGCTGGTAGCATTTATAGTAGAAAAATGTGTAGCTTTGTATCCTTCTTTGAGAATTATGTTAATTTTATTTCTTTCAACTCTTGGTCCAGTTGGTTCCCCTTTGATTCAAATAAACTGGTTTCAAACTTGCATTCTTTGGGCTTCCTTCTTAGTGGTTAAAACTTATGCACAAGTAATACAATTTGTTTTTCAGATTTGTGTGTTATCCATATATACAGTATATTTTATTATCCATAATTATCTATCCTCGCTTTGTAGAGTTGTTATGCAAGATGACAGAATCACGGGGGTTTGTGTTTTCTCCTAACGGACGGAACAGTGTCGATATGAACATCAATTCAAAGGCTGTGGATCGCCCCTTTACCATAGATGGTGGCGATGAGACCTGTGTTGCCCATAGCGACGCAGAAAATGGAAGTCAAGGAAAAATAATGTTTGGTCCTTTGAGCAAAGAAGAGTCTGAACGACTTCAACGTGAAGCGAATGAGGAGACAACTAAGAGCGAGGATTTGCGGCTGTTTTTGCAGGTTATTTTAATTGATCGCCATTTTAAGATGATTCTATCATTCTGATTCAAAGTGTCTCATTAACTTGTGGTCGCCTCCCAAATCGTTTTGATGGTATTCTTTGCAATTTTTAGTCATGATTTTCAGTTATTTCCAAATTGTCTAGCTGTTGCTTGCAAAAGTGTAAGCACTTATTTTTGTTATTCTTGAAGGATTGAGGTAGGAACTTTCTTCTTTTTTCTTAATGTTGAATTCATTGCCTCTTGATAGAAGTTGAGTGGATTTGATGCTCTGTCAATTTCACAGGCTTTGACTCATAGGTGTCGAATTTCTGGTCCTCTATAAAATCTAAAGCCGTGCCTCAGTACATATGAAATGCTAATCATCGCTTTGTCTTCTAATTTTCAGCACCCATTTTTTTGCAGTTTTTGTGTGTTTTCATTTGTGTGACCACTTTGAGGGCTCTGACCACCTACCTACTGTCGCGTCACTAGAAAGGGAGATACCTAAATCGGATTATTAATGAATGTCAAAAGTTTAACTGGAAGATGGAGTTATAATGTAGGAGTTGTCCACGCATTGTGTCATTACGGCCACAAATAAGAATAATAATAATTATTATAATTATTCCATTGCAGCCCAAATTACGATGTTTTAATGAGTTAAAAATCTTCTGAACTCTGAATCTATCTTGTCCTAGTCATTACACACTTTTTGGAACAAGGAGTTTGTCCCCTTGGCAAATGTTCTGTTCATGTGTGACTTGCTCATCCATCCTTGTTGTGACACTTTCAAGCCTCTTGTTGAAGTGCTACTCGATGTCTGAGAGAACCCCACGTAGCTACTTACTTCTTAGAAAAGCCTTTCATGAGCGTTTTACCTTTCATGCGGTAAGTTGGGCTGATCACTTACTATTTTTACCATTTTCCTGTAAAGCGGAGTGTTTACACACACACACTGGAGGCTGTGACATCAAAACAATGGTAAATTTGTTCCCGCTGTCATTTTGCGATCAATTCTTGGGGAGTACTTTAACCTACTCAGCTCCTTCCGTCTTTGATTTTGAAGTCCCTTTAACCTACGGCAAAAATTGGGTTGGCAATCTCTCCTCTCATGTGTTGAATGAATTCTCTTCCAAGTTGCCACAAGAAGTCATCATCATCTTAAAGCCTCTTAAAATAAAGAGTATCGATGACAACCATTGCTGTCTCCATTGCCTAACTCCTCGATCGGCACTTTCAGCTGGTGGATGGGTGATCGCAAAAATGCTTTTGTCTTCTCCTCACTTCACTACTCTTGTCGGTTTAAAATAAATTTCACCCCAATTGCCAAAATCGTTTGCTGAAGGGTCAGAGAAGCAGGCACTTAAAGCACCCTTATCTGCATACACTTAAACTAGTGAGAATTTCTCAGATGCCTAGCAACCTGTGTTGTGCTGCTCATCCTCTCGCTACATTGACTGGTGGTAAGACAATTGCCTAGGCGGATTGCACAACTGGACAATCACTTTTGAGTCGGATAGGTCATTGAGATGGCTATAACTGGCTTTCAGAAGCTTACCTAATTCTGAAGGTTGCTCTCTGCTGTTGTAATGTGGTTATTGACAGGATTAATCCATTTTCTGTTCATTTGACGGCAGTAGGATTTAACTCGGACTAAACTTGTTTCATGGCATGAGAAGAAAGAAATTCCGCTGAACAGTTGTTGATCCGTGGCTCTTGCTTTCGTTGTGGTCGTTGGAAAATAATTTTTACGATTTCCAGGCACATACCTGGGGACTTTATTGTTTCCTTCAGTGACGTTTGATGCTTTTTACCTGCGCTGGCACCTAGAACTTGCATCGTGCATCTGCAGAAGTAAGTAGTATAAAGGAAATTCACCTCTCTTCTTTAGTAGTCCTCTACTTTCCAAGCAATGGGGTCTCAATCCACTTCTGGACGTCTGCCTTTTATCTCATCGCCTCAGATGCGCTTAAAATTGGGTGACAGTCGACGTAATCATAGTTGGAAGTTGTTTCGAACTCATTTCAAGGCCTCTCAAATAGTACAGTCATCACAACATCCCAAAAATTTAGACTGGCTCTGTGTTGGAGCTGAAAGGCAGAAGGTAGCGAGACCGAGGATGGCTAAAAGCTGGGTCTTATCACTGGTAGGCGAGGTCCAGTCCTGCTGACACGGAGTGAGTAGCTGCGAGGGTGGGTATGATACAAGCACCGTAATCTGGATTTAGTTTTCTTTTCCGCTTCCGCATCCTATTTGGGGCAGTCATTTGCGGCAAGGCTTCCTTTTAACTCTTTGCTTATTAAAGCTTCGTGCTAGTATCCGAATTTCATGATTTTTACTTCCTCCCCTTCCCTCTTGCGATTTGTCCGCAATCTCGAGTCGGTAGCCTAACCTTGAAGGCGACTTTTTCAGACATTCGAATTACTTGAATCCAGTGGTAGGGTTTAAGGGGCTTGGCGTGCTTCAATAAGAAAATTCCATTATTCAGGGCGACACTCTCCCCTCATAGCCACGTATTCATGCTAACTTCAAAAGGTTGTAGAGCTTGCGAAATTTTGAGGCCAGGTGTCTTTCTAGAGAGAGGTGGAGTTGATCTGCAAAAAGTAAAATTCGAAACTGTGCTGACGTCTTCATATCCCTGGGGTAGGAAAGATGACTTAGGATTCAAGGGGGTGGATGGGTCTTCCAACACACGAGACGTTTCTACTCCATAAATAATACTTATTCCAAGGCACACGATTGCATCAACTATCTATTTTTTGCTTTGTTTTGATTCTGGCATTTAGGTCTTCCTGAAGGATGCGATCCAAAATACACTGTGGTCCTGATTGTTTTTAAAAAAGTAGCTTTTTCTTATGGAGCGGTATTTCACATTCATTCTCTCCACCATTTCAGGAGATGCATCAACACATGCAACAGCAACAGCAACAACAACAATATCAACAGCAGCAATATCAAGTTGGTTCTACCTCGCAGATGTTAGGGAGTAGCGGTATTTCACACCACCAGCTTCAACACCAGACTTCCACACGCAGCCATGTTCTTCAGCACATGTCTACTCCTGCCAACACACAGAAACGCTCTGTCATTGGACCTGAACAGGGTGAGTTCTTGCATTATCCCCTCGTTTCCCGTGGAGGTCGTACAGTCTGCCTTCGGATTCAGACGTTGGTCCACACAACTACTTTCTTATACCTTCCAGATAACGTGATTGACAGTTCTCCAGATGGTGGTTGGGGCTGGGTTGTGGTCTTCAGCTCTTTTGTTTGTATGATCCTTGTGGATGGGATTTGCCTCTCCTATGGCCTCCTTGTGGCACCAGTTTGCCCTGGCAACAGCCTCCAGGCTGTGGAGGTGCCAACTCCCATGCTGTCACGCTCCCGCCTCCTTACTGCCACCTCGCTTGGCATTGTTTGGTCCTCCAAAGCCCGCACAATTCCTATCCCTCCTGGCACTTGCGTGGGCATCTCGGAGATGGGAGAAGCATTGGCCACACAATCGCGCGTGGCTCTCATGGCTCCTGGGGGCTTGTTGGTAGGATTCTACCTTCTGTTGGGTGAGGTCCATGACTCATTTGTGCTGATTCATTATTTATTTGGTTATAGTATAGTTATACAAATGGATCTGTTCCTTCATCTATCCATCCCGCCTTGTAGGCTTATAGGCATTCGTCTAGGCTTGATGTGGTTCCTTCAATAGCGCTTAAGTTTGGAGATATTCATCCGACTCAACTTAGGCCTAGATTAACCTGTTAAACTTTTTAGAACACCGTCCGTGAAAGTGGAGTTAGTGAGAGGGTAAGGGAGATTGTCCACTTAGCGTGCTCCTCACATTCACTGATAGCAGATTCAGCCAAGGCATTGTCAATCACTGATAACGCCGTCGAGATAACAGCTGTATACAACTTCTCGTAGGCTTCACACCATTTCGAACAGTTTACTACGAATTCCTTGTCTCTTTCCACAGGTCCTCTAGCTAGCGCGCTTAGCAATCAATTTGACTTTCGACCTGTGGCTATGGTTGGAGGTGTGATTGCAACGGTGGGTCTCCTGACATCTGCCTTCTCCACTAATGTAGCGATGCTCACTGCAACTCTGGGTGGCATTGGAGGTGAGGCTTTGTGTGTCCAACCCATCAATCTTTTTTTTTTCATCGGCCATGCAGTTATTTGGGAAGTATCCTTCCTACTTAAAAGTATGTCGATTGTGAATATCTTGTCATTCCCTCCATGCCACAATTTTTCTTCTGATTAAGCTCTTTTGAACAATCTAGAGACTGTTAAGCCAAGAAGATAAGGCGGTCGACAATAGACTGCTCTCGATGGAACGGTTTATCTGTCGTTTCCCGTGTAAAAGTTTTCCTTATCTCCTCAACTCTTAATGTTACATTTCAGTCTGGATCTGTCCTCCTCTCTCCCATTAACATGGCTCGTCTTTTCAAGTCTAATTCACACAATCCTTTGCCATTTCCGGATTTATTCACTTGTTAGAGATTATGAGAAGCAATTATTGATGTTGAATGGTGGTTGGCTAGCCAAGTATGGTCAAAAATTTGCTTGGAATTTCACGAGGAAGTTGGGATGTGGAACCCATTCAAATGCCCTTAATTACAGACTATGAGATCTTTTAAAATGGATTTATTTACTTGCTCTCCTATGGTTATGTTCTCTGTTATTTGGTAATTTTGATTAGGAATGGCCGAAAAGAAAATATCCAAATTATTTCATCGTCAGCTCTTTTCTTTCTCCTCGTCCCCAATCACCTTTTTTATGGACAGTTTATTGGTTAGTAGTTAACTAATCACAGAGCTCCAGGATTGAATTCACCAATTGTCTGGGAGTTTGCTTTATACCAAACCATCCAGATTTGAAGATGGCTATAATGAATCTCATTGGCTGACACAATGCTTATTATTTTCTACGCCCCTGTTTTACAAATGTTTTTTTTAACACTTACATCTGCTCATACATGTCAGAGAGGAGCTGATAATAAGTCACTTATTTGCTCGGAAATAGTTACTTGTGCAATTCGTGAAATATAAAACTTTAATTTTTTTAACCATATATGCGACTTCGCATCTTATTACCAATGGCTTACTCCACTAAAACAATGTCACTGTGGTTGGTGACAGTTTCATGATTAGATAGCAAAAGTTCCTTAAACTTCATGAAAATGCAAATCTCCGCTAACATAAGGTTCCTGCAATGCGACTCTATATATCCGAATTGGTCTTGCAAACGACAAGGCTGCTTTTCCTTATTGTAGGCTATTTACTCGACCCTTGATGGTAAAATAGCTGTCTGTGTGCGCCTTTTTAAATCTCCTCTTTTTGCTTCTTCCAGGCATTGGATTTGGTCTAATCTACCTCCCAGCCATAGCAACAGTAGGCCACTGGTTCAAACGCCGAAGACCTTTCGCCGTGGGATTGGCACTCTGTGGCAGTGGGGTCGGCAGCATTGTTGGGGGTCAGGTCTTTCCCCTTCTAGTTCAGTGGTTTTCATGGAGTGGCACACTCATCGTTCTAGCCGCTTTCTGTATGCAGTGCCTTGTAAGTGAATAACATCGAAAGAATCAACTTTTTCTGCCTGTACCACACATAAAATGGTACGTTTTGACTATCCGTTTTGCATAGCTCCTAGTTCCCAAGTCTTTTGCGAATGAAAAGAAAAGACTTCTGGACTCGGTGGAAAATTCAATAGGTCTGTGCTGGCACCATGTCAGACCCATAAAAAACGTTTGGTGCAGTGGGCGATTTGGCAGCAGTGTTTAATTTTAGAATTGACATAATTCAGGAACCCACTACTTAGTCTACGACTATCGAATCCCTTTCAGGTTGATCTCAACTACACACCATCCCTTCATATAACCATTTGACACAACAGAAGAGTGGCAAAAGTCGAATATTAAAGGCAAACGAAGAGATCGAAACGAGTGACGAGTTTTGGCATTACAAATATCCATTAACTTGTCCATACCTTTCTGACGTTTACACGAGAGACCCAGTACAGCAGGGCTTGACAATCCGACCTAATCCGTCTCGCATCCATCATGACCAGACTTTGTGAAAATGCATATGCGTATGTCAAACATATTCTGTCACTCCTTCGGCACCAAATTTCGTCAATTCATCACATCTGTCGGTCAAGCATACAGCAATAAGCCCGTAAAAGACCTTTATATAGACGAAGTCTACCAGTATTTCAGTTGGTGCCAAGCTACTTATAACGTAACGACGACCCTGTACCACCAACGAATTGACAATCTCAACCACCAGCAGCCCTCCTCCTCCACAACAAAGTCAACTGCCATCAGTCAAGCAACAACAGTGTCCATCACAGCGTCACCTCCTCCTCCTCCTCTTCCACTCACTTTCGCCTGTGTGTGAACATCGTCCAACTTATTCCCTTACATGCGACGTCGTCTATTTGGTCCACTCAAATATCACCTCCACCACCCACCCCTCCCCCTCACTCGGCACAATGACGATGAACGCCCTCCACTACGTCCCTTCACCATTCACCACACCTCTCACAACATTCCTCAGTCGCATTGACAACTTCTCCATTGTCCT